GCAAAAAATCCAACATGATGCTTCCCACAGCGCGAGCACATCAAATTTGTCTCCGTCGGGAGCTACCAAGCGCGGTTCTAGTTCACGATATCCTGAAAAAAAAAACGTGAGACGTATTAGGAGCCAGCCCTCGAGTCGAGAAACGCCTTGGTGGACCAACGAGGTCTCCGGATCGCGAAGACCACCCTGTTCCCCCCCATCAAGCCACAGGCTTGTACTTGGACCAATCAAGTGAAATGGGCTGGGGAGCCTCATCAAGACAAACCAGAGCCCATGGTACGTGAATGATATTTGATCTACAAGTTATCATGGCTCTGTTTGGGAAGGGGAGTTGACACCCCAGGCTATGAACTTGACTGGCACAGAGGATGTCCAGTGGCTTGAAGCCGGCGACGAGAGTGTTCGCCGCGACAGATACCTATGAAGCCAACGTAAGTAGATCACGGTGGATCTTGCGCACATTTATATTCTGTTCTTCTCATGAGATTGGTAGAGCCAGGTGTTAGTTGAATATTACCGAGTTCTCCTGATGCATAAGACCCAGTTCGGTCATGACCGTGGTAAGTGCATCCAGCCCGCCGTCCAGATGGGCGGCACCGAACAAGGCCTCCCCTGTCATGGCCATCATCTTGGTAGAGACACTACTGCCGTGATTTATGTTGATGCAGCTGTCGAGGCCGAGGGAATATCCTTGTCCGGCAAGGTAAGCATTTGACAGCCGTCCTTGGCGGAGTTCATCCTACGCCCCTAATTGTTGGGCCAGACACTTCATAATGACGTGCATTGTTACAACACGGGGTGTACTTGCGTTTGTCGTCGCCCTCTCGATACCAAGTACGGCACAGATTCGACGCAGCGACGCAGTCGCCGTAGACGGCCAGTCGATGGTTTTTATTAATTCGCCGAATGGAACTGCCGACGTTTTAACAAGCCATGGTGTCGGCAGCCATGTTCAATGTTTCGGCGCATAGGAGCTCCTGTTTCCAATGGTACTGCAACGCAAGCTCGCACTGCTCAATCCTGGCAGGAAAGCGTCTGTCACATTCCATGGCGATTGATGGGTTATTTCGGGAAGCTGTGATGCGAGGTTGATGTTTGATCCCCCCCCTCTTGTTCGCAGATGATAGATGATGCCGGGTGTTGGAGTTGAAGGGAAGAGAAGGACCAAATCAAATACATGCTTCCTCTTCTCTTATACATGCGCCACGAATAAGGGACACGGCGCCGTTGCGTGCCTGGCCCGTTTGTGTGACTGTGACGGTGGCCGTGACGGTGACCATGACGGTGACCATGACGGTAACGAGGTTGAATCTCGTCAGCCACTGAATTATCAGCACGAGTGGCGTCTGGTGAGGGTTTCCTGGCGTGGCTGGTAAGATGACGATGCAGCGTCTCATTAATTTTTTTTTTGTTTTTTTTGATGATGATGATGATGATGATGTTGTTGTTGTTGTTGTTGTTGTTGTTGTTGTTGTTGTTGTTTTTGTTGTTGTTGTTGTTGTTGTTGTTGTTGTTGTTGTTGTTGTTGTTGTTGTTGTTGTTGTTGTTGTTGTTGTTGGCAACGCAGCATGTTTCGGCGGCTAGTTTGCGGTGCCTTACCGCGGCGGCTGTCCCCCCGCCGCCTGCCGCCTGCCGCCAGTAGCGGGCGGTGGGTACGGGGGACTCGGCAATCGAGTCGGCAATCGAGCGGGTGATCGAGTCGGCAATCGAGGATCGGATGCTGGATAGCGGGGCAGCTGCAGAGACGCCTTGGCACCACTACATGCTTCTATTGGTCAGACGGTCCGCCCCGGGCAATGCGCCTGGGCGGGTACCTACCTTAAGAACCTACGTAGGTAAGTAAGTACCTAGTTAGGTACTTAAGGCGCCTGGGTACTTGGGTCCCTCGAATAGGTACTTCTTTTGCTTCCGTGTTGTGGGAAACCCAGCACGGGTTACCAACACCCACCAACTCCCATCAACTTCCACCAACTTCCACCACATGCAGATATGCAGATAAGACGTGTCGTTCCTTGCTCGCAGCCGTGGCCTCGGCCTCTACTGGACGTCTGGGCTCTGCTTGGTTCTCCATCAGAGCCGAATGGTCCGACCTCATATTGGACTCTGAAGTGAATCGCATCGGCGGGGCTGCGAAACATGACTCCGAATCATATGTGCATCACGTCTGGTCGCACCAGTGACCACCGTCCCGTCATCATGCATGCCCAAGCAGACGAGTTGACGTGACTTGTCTTGACTGAGCGCCTCCAAACACTCTGAAAAGGGGGCGAGGGTCCGGCAACGTCGTTGATCCTCCACCAGGTCAAGGGCCAGGCAGTGAGCACCGGGCCGCTCGACATTTACGCCCTCGAGGGGCTTTGAGACAGCTCCTGGACTAACACGTCGAGGCACGCACGACATTTCGTATATCTGACGGAAAAGGTCTGTCGGCCCGCTCCAGTTCGAGACACACACACACACACACACACACACGCACACACACAAAAAAGAAAAAAAGAAACCAAAGACGAAAACAAAAAAAACTCAAACTCCGCATATTCATCCGATCCATCAGGACATGTCGTGTCGATATCCAAGCCTTTGAGAAATCACTCTGATCTGCGTGAACAAAAATTGGAGTTTTTCTCTCTGCACTTTCTTTTCTTTTTTCTTTTTTCTGTTTTTTTTCTTCTTATTTTTAATAGCCTCTCTTCCCCCCCGTCGGAGCGAATAGTACTTGGACGTCTCGCTCCGTCTCGAGCCGTCCACTCTTGACAGTCTCGTCCCGCGATATCATTCCCGATCCAATCCCCGCCGTTCAACGACCGATGAGACGGACAAGTCGACCTTGACTTGTTTTGCTGCGGGCTTGACTGCTCCCCAACAGCACAAAGGGCTGGGCCGCAGGTCGCAGGATTGGCCAGAAAACCTGCGTTTCTTCTTTCTGTCAATTCATGTTGGAGGATGAAGTTGCGCCCGAGGGCGGCGATGTTGACCGGGGCCCGCAAGCCTTGGTTTTCTTCTGGGCCGTGGCGGCGGTGAGCATCATTATGGTGGCGTTGCGGTTCCTCGGACGGCATTTTCGGCGACGGATAGGACTGGATGATTGGTTTATGCTTGTCACTTTGGTATACCTCCTTTTCTTTAGAAGTGTGGAAAAGAAAGCAAGGAGGAAAGAGCGGGAGAATAAAAAAGAGAAATTCGGAAAGTTGGCAAGACAAAAAAAAAAGAATCCGAGACGGGAGGAATTAAAAAAAAGAAACGGGAAAGAAAGGAACGAGGAGAAACTCTCGTGTCTGTTGGGAAGACGAATTCGCCAAGAAACCCCCCCCCCTCCTCCTTCACAAGTGGTTGACTTTTCATTCTCCTGCATGACAGATTCTCCATCTCCTCTTCGTGGCTACCATGACAAAGATCATTCTGATGGGTGGTATGCGTCATTTCTACTACGTGGAACCGCACGATCGTGTTCAGATCCTCAAGTGGACGTGGATATGCCAGCCATTTATCGTCATGGGCTTTGCCACGGGCAAGCTCTCCATCGGCATCCTGCTCTATCGCGTCGTCGGCTCCGCCTCGTTTTGGCGCAAGTGGTTGCTGTGCCTGGCCATCGCACTGGGCATGGTCTTCAGCGTCGTCAATGTCGTGCTCACATACGCGCAGTGCTCGAGGCCCGAGGCGCTTTGGGACCGCGCTCTCGTGGCGGAGGGCAAGGCAGACTGCTGGTCGCCGATTGTCCAGCTCAGATTTTCCCTGTTCCTCTCCGGTACGTCAAGAGGGGGCGTCGTCGGGTGGTCGCTCAAGAAGAAAACCACCAAGTTGTGAAAAAGACGAGCTGCATGAGTCCGTGCTGACTGACCCGTGTCAGGCTGGAACATGGTGGTGGATGTCTTCCTGGCGGTCTTGCCGGCGACCTTTTTCTGTAAGCTGAATCTCACGCTGAAGAAGAAGATTGGGCTCTGCGCTCTTCTCGGCTTGGGATCTCTGGCCGCCATCTGCGCGGCCGCCAAGACCAAATACCTGTACTCGCTGACCACGCCGGTGGATATCGCCCGTATGTGTGTGTGGCTTTTTTATTTTATTTCATATTTTATTTTCTTGGTCCACCTTGGCCAAGCCTCAGCGGAAGCCTCCCCTAGTTCGTTGAGATGGCACGGCACGCCTCACGTGGCGATGGCCCAACTTACACGTTGTCCAGGGAAAACATATCATCTGTACATATGGTCGACCATGGAGCTATTCCTCATCATCAACTGCGGCAGCATCGCGCCCATCAAACCCGTCTACGATCGTCTCCTGGGACGCAGCAGCAGCGCCGAAGCCACCGGCTACAGACGCTCCGGTGCCAGTCTTGATACCCCAAAGGGTGCGCTCGGGTCATGGCGGCGCGGGAGGGACTGTTTGGACAAGGCGCCTGATGAGGAGGTCGAGCTGGATTGCCCTCGCGCACGCGGTGCGGTTGCGGCGCCGTCGGGTCCATGATTTGAAGCATGCTAGGAACGTGGATAGCATCCGTGATGTCAAATGAAATTGTCCCTGCGGTCCAAGACCCTGCCTGACGTGCCCTCGTATCCGTCGGGTCCTTCTGCCTCGCACGCGGCTTTGAAACCCCGTAGCGTGGCCATGTGCCAGAGATGAGATGAGCATGACCAGTCCTATTGAGTTTACCTCCTACTTACCTTGAACCACAAGGGAGACGCGTCACGGCAGAATGAACCAGTCTCCCACCGCATTTCATCTTCGTACTCTTGTCCCTCTGATCGGCACCCGTAACGATGCCCGTTGGAAAGGCCACTTGCCCATGGTCTGCAATCAGGAGCCCTTTGCGCGTGTCGACTTGCGTCGCGTTACTCGGCTGTGTCGGCGCTGGAATACATGATGGCGTGCACGATTGACGTGCGAAGCGGCCGATCTGTGTTTCGCGTCAAGGTGCACACTGACGTTGCTGTGATGGTTGTCGTGGCTGTGTTGGAGCAGTGAGGTGTATATGTACCAGCTTAAGCTTGGCGTTAACAACACAAGACACTTTGGCCGAGTGGTTAAGGCGATGCCCTGCTATTGGTTGCAGTTGCGAGGCATTACATTCGTGTGCGCAGGTTCGAATCCTGCAGGTGTCGTTTCTTTTGCAGGGTTCACCCTCGTTCTTTTTGCATTCTGCCACGCAGCCTATGGATGAATTCATGTGACGGCTCACGTTTACGCATTACATGTCGTGTCCCCGTGTTCTTCTTGGCCGTGACGTTTTTGGCGTGGAGATGGTGATGGTATTTGGGATCCGCAGTGGATTCGAGCGCGAGCCGGGTGTTGGGCCGTTGGCGGGTTCGGATTCCCTTGACCCCCTTTGTCCATGACAATGGCGAATTGTTCGGGGATGACCTGGACCCTCGGTGTGGGATTGTCCGCCATATGCATGCCGCGACCGACCTACTGGTTGAAGAGTCAGTCTGTATCTCGCAGACCTCTACATGTTTTTTTCTTCTTTTCATCTATTAGTCTCTTAGAAAGGAAAAAAGATGCCTTTCGTTCATGCTCCATATGCTGCGGCCGCGACGCACCCAACGGACGAAAGTCAGATGAAGCGAGGAGCATGGAAGCGGTGATGCCACGGGGGTTTGGTGTCCGAGGCGTAATTAGACTTGACGTTTTCTTTGGTATTTACCACAAAAAAAAAACCTTGTTTACCTTGGCTGAAAACCCTCTTACTACCTACAAAATGAACAGCCATCCGCCCATGAAACTCTCCTTTGCGCGACATGAACGGGGATGGAAAAACAACACCATCACGAACAATGGAAATGGTAGGCGCACAGCAACAAACAGACGCTGAACAGCTAAGACGTGTGTTGTTCATCCACTCGTCCGAGATCCTGGGACAAAAGACGCCCCTTGCCATCTGGTTATTTAAAGGCGGCGGGGGGCGCTGTATTCACTGGTGGGAAACCGTGGCTTGTCATTGCAAAGCTCGGCTTGATTTTTGGAAAACACAAAAAAAAATAAAAAAAATCGTATTCCGTCCTAGAAGGACTTTCATCTGGTGAGTGATTGGTCGAGAGACGATGGCTTGGTGCCCGGCATGCAGGGCCTGGGCAGAAGAACACAAGGAGTCTCCTGGACAGGGAAACGCGATCGAGCTAACGGAGTGGCAGCTTGTTTCACCCCCTTTCCCCCCTTCTTTTCGGCACCAAGAGCAGACGAGGAAGAGCGCCGGACCGCAAGGATGAACGCCAGCGGACACAGGATCATGATCACCATGGAAATCGCGGAGCCTTCACAAAGGCAGGCGCTGTGGGACGAGTTCGACATGTTCATTCACAACAACAGGTTGGCATACAGGGTCTGCGATCAGGGCCTGTACTGGAAGGACTGGGAATATACGGGCCCGGCGGATGCGGATAGCAGCATGGAAACCTGCGAGGATGCCAAGAAAGCCGACTGCTTTTTCCAGGGAAAGAAGGGCTTTTCCCGAGCGAACCGGCCTTGGGTTGGTTGGACATACGAGTTGATGTGTTGATAGTGGCAGGCGAGCCAAGAACACCCAAGAACATATACCAAGGACCGGTTGCTGCTGCAAGGATGAAATCTGGCCATGGAGTTGGCTAGATGATAACAATGTCATGAATGGTCCAATGACCCAATACCTTTGTGCGCAGACGAACAAACGTGCATGCAGGTGACAAGAAAGGCGGCACGCCGGGAAATCAAGTTGGAGACGAGGCGGCGCGTAAGTCATGGCCACTCTGCAGACGAGAGCTTCGTGGGATTCCCGGGCAACAGAGAAACCAAGCCTGGTGGTGGCATGGAGTATCAAAGGTACATGTGTATGATTTGGTAGTTCCGGTATAAATCTGCGATTCCTCGTCAATCCATCGAACCAGTTTGCTGACTCAAGGACACATTAGATCCATCGTCGACGCTGACCGAGCTGCTCGTGGTGCGACCCAACTACATAGGATAGAATTTGGAATTGGACCGTGCTGAAGCCGAGTGTTTCTTACGGCTCTCTCGGCCAGGCGCTCGTTACGCGGTACATTCTTTATTTCCATCCCATGACCATGATGGGTGACCGACAAGCGAGCGATGGAGTGTGTGCAGGACCAACTTTTGCTGTCATTTCTGACCTTCTCACCCCGAACAGATTCTCGACCAATCATCGGGGCCATGACCATGACTTGACGTCGTTCCCACGGGTTTTGTCCCGAGCCCAAAGACAGCCCGTCGTCATGTCTCGCTTCCTTGCCGCGTCGTGCACATATTGCTGACGATTCGTGTGTGGGTGTCATCGTCGAGGGTCGAGACTGTCGTGCTCCCTGCTCCCTACTCTCTGCTTGCTACTTGCCGTTTTCCGAACCAGAGCATTCAGGTACTCGTTGAGGCCGATTGACGCCACCGTGTTGCTGCGCTACGATGGGAGCAAGGCTTTGTGGAAAGGGGGGCCAAGAGATGCAAGAAAAGCGAGTGAAGAGTCGATCACGGTGAGTCTTTGGTCTAGAGAGAGGGAGGAGAAAAAAAAAAGAAAAAAAAGAAAAAGAAAAAAAAAAAGCACGACACACTCGTGCCTTGCTTGACGGATCGTCTTAGAGATTTTCTCCCATTGGTCGGGTCATGGCATCCCTACCTCGTCGGTTCCTGCATGTGCGGCGTGCCAAGCTTGACACCCTGCGTCAAGGCAGGAACGACCAGCATTGAAGTTTCAAGAGACGCGCAAGTGCCGTTCAGGGTCAGGTGATGCAAAAGAGGCAAATGATGCACATGATGCAAATGATGCTCGTTGCTCTCCCACTCCTCCATTGCCACACCGGCACGCAAACGCCTTCTTGTCGAAACTCCGGCTCCTCAGGATTCGTCCAGCTTCGCTCAGCTCCTTGTTTCGTCCGACACGTCAGTAGTAACCAATTTAGTTCCGTCCTGTCCGGTAGCACAAGCTCCCTTTGCGCTCGTCAAATCCCAAATTGACCTTGTATGTACATATTACACGTACGCAGACGATTCGACGGCCACGAAATAGGTCTTCCAACGCAGGGACCCCACCGGAGAAGGCAGAGAAGACGAGAGCGACTCGTAATCGAATAAGCAGCCCAGTCTTGAATCCTGGCATCCAGGCCGTCGGAAGCGCACCCAGCGCAGGATTTGTCGTAGAAAAGCCAGTAAGCCCGCCGTCGCCCGGCGATCCAGGGACCGGCGCCAAACCCTTCTCCTCGTTTCACACACACCATCTGCGGATCGCATAACGAATCTTCGATGAGCATGAGCATCCAATATTTCCACGGATTACTTTCTGCAGACATGCCTTCGAGGACTTCTGGTTCCATCGTGTCGGATTCAACGAAAGCAGCCTCATGGAGGGGCAGGAAATTAGGCCAGAGCCCATTGCCTGATTTATTGCACGTCTCTTGTCCTGTCTTGTGTTCTTGTAACCGTCTGAATCGAAATCAACAGATGAATGCTGGCCTTGGCGCGTTTTGAACCAGGCCTAGTACCACAACAGCTTTGCAAGAACCGTGGTGAGTCGAGTCAAGTCGTACAGTTGGCATGGATCCCCTAGCTTGGCCTCGGATTGACGTGATAGAACGTACCACTCGGCGCTTTCGGCGATGAAGCCCAGAGGTCGTAGGGAGATGCTGCGTGTGTGACCCTATTGCCAGCTCGGCGGCAGCCGCTCAAGGAGACACGCCAGAGATCGATTGAACTTCTAGACTTGCACCATTCCAGTGGCTCTTAAGATGACCTAGTCTCACAAACAGTCTCATGGTCGCTTCGTCGGCCTTGTTTTTCCCTATATAGCTTGAAGGCTGCTGCTACCTTTGCTGCCCGTCTGTTTACCGACTTCTAGTTGGACCACTCCTTAAGACCTGCCTGACTGTACCCAACAAGAAAAGTGTCCTTGTCTTGTTCAAACACTCCGATATGAAGGCCTCCACCATTCTCTGCTTGGCTGCCGCTGGAATTGCCGGAGCTCTCGAGGCCCGCAAGCCCCATTGCGGAGGTGATAATTGCGCCCGTCAGGTCACCGGTACTCGCAAGGGCCTCACTCCTCTATCTTCTCGCAAGGCCGACTGCTCCAGCTTCATGAGGACCACAATCGTCCCGGACGCAACGTATGTTTTCCACGGTGTTCGGACACAGGAGCTCCTCTGATGTCTCTGGAAGGAATCAGAGCTGCTTGCACATCAAGGGGCATGACTATGGAGAGAAGACGAGAAGCGCGCAGCTAACACCCTTTCGTTAGAACAATCACCGTCACCGTTACCGTGGAGCCCGATGAGCCCGTCTCCTTGACCAAGCGTGGTATCGAGTACCGTGCTGCTACCGAGGTCGACCATGCTGTGCCTACGTATGCCTCATCTTGTAAGAAAAAGGGCAAGTACTCGTCTGCCTGCTCTTGCTGGGGCATCACGCCCGTTATCACCACTGCTCCTGTTCCCACCGAGACGCGTACCGTCACCGTCACGCTCGACTTTTGCGAGGAGGACATATAAATCGCGCGGAGTGCAGTGGGGGGCAAGGGCATTTTCGACCTGCATATCGGGACCCACGATGGTTCATTGACGCGGATTCTCTGTACCGTGACACTGTATCACAGACACACAAAGTATAAAAAGCAAAACAAAACGGGCAGCGAGTTTGTCCCCTTCTTTCCTACTTGAAGGCGCGAATTTCGGCCTGGCACTCTGTGAGACAGGGGGGGGGGGTTGTTTGACGGAATCGGTGCTTGTGTGAGAAAACAGCGACATGTCGAGGCGTATTTTGTTTTGGCAAAATAGTTGGGCATCTCATGATGGAGGAATGTCTTGTTGCTAGGGCGGGTATTGGCATAATGGGATGATGTTTTGTATCAATTTTCCTTTGTTTCTTTCTATTTCCCTTTTTCTTTTTCTTTTTCTTTTCCTTCCCTTTCCTTTTCTATTTTCTATTTTCTTTTTTCCTTTCCCTTTTCCTTTTCTGTCTATTTCCTTTTGTTTCTTTCTCTTTTCTTTTCTTTCCATTTATATTTTTTTCTATCCAACTACTCACCTTCTCCGTCAAGACTCGTAAACAGTCGCGACTCTGCGCGGCCCTTTATCAACATCGTGTGACCTATGTTCGCTTCACCCTTGTCATGTTTGCTTTGATGAAAAGA